CTTCTTTTATATCTAATTCTTTACTTTGATTTTTGAACTTTAGATTTATATTTGTAACTGCCTGTGTCTAGATGTATGTAGACAGTTCATATTTTACTCAAATCACTTAGTGTACCCACATCAGTAAAGAATAACAATCCTTTCGTGGATTAAGCCAATCTTCAATTTTTTTTTCTTTGCGTTTCATTGTCTCAGCCTACTTTGTCAGCAATATGATTATTATGGACTCAGAAGAACCTTTCTAATTTTACTCCTACTGAGTGCATCTTAGAGAAAATCAGCCAGGTATCCTGGTGACTTATTTTGGTTCCAAAAAATCTAGTCTTAATTTATTTAGAGAAAACAAGACTGATTGTTTGAACACTTAGGATGGATCATGTAACTCATGCTTTAAAGTTCCACTTCGTTCTGTTTACATTACTCTGGGTAATGGTAGCTGTTAAGTAACGAAGTTCAAACAGCTACACCTTGCACATTAGAAGTTTAGCATTTACACACACAACGCCCTGATTGACTGCAAGCACATTGTCTTCAAAAGGGCTTTTTAGAGGCCTAAACACCTTCTAATTCGAGTTTTTTTTAAAAAACACCTTGTGGCCTCTAAATTGTAACAAGCTGGGCCTCAAATCACACATAGAGTGTAATCTCAGCAGCAAGGAAAATACCCTAGAAAAGGATCTCAAATGTAAGACGCTTGTTTAAGTATGTGTGCCATTGTAATCCACCTAATGCGGTTATGATAATACTCTTACAAAATTACCTTCTTTATTTATTCTATGGTACCTATAGATAACATGCATTCTTTTCATAATAGTGGAAATGTGTTTATCATAGTTGAATAAAAATGTCACCATTATATCCATAGGGAATGGCACCATTAGGAGGTGTGACTTTGTTGGAGTAGGTATCTTTTGATTGGAGGAAGTGTCACTAGGGGGTGGGCTTTGATGTGTTGATGTATCTCAATCCTTTTCATGCTGTGGATCCAGATGTGGAACTCCCAGGTACCTTGCCAGCACCTTATTGGCTTGTATGGCACCATGCTTCCTAAAGATAATGGACTAAACTTATGAACTGCTAGTCAACCCGATTTAATATTTTCCTTTGTAAGAGTTGCTATGGTTATGGTATTTCTTCACAGCAATAGAATTCCTAACTAAGAAAATGCTGCTAAGATGATGCTATCAGACAAGGTCTACAGTTTAATACTTAGACCAAGTCTAAAGACTAAATAGGATGACACAGAGCCTTGCCTTGAACATCTACTTTTCCGTACTTGAACAGGTGGGACCTGGAAATGTGGCAGCACCAAGGGAAAGCAAAGATTTCTGTCTTGGAATCTGTTGTTGTGTTCCTTCGTTAAACTGAAGAGAAAGTGATTTGACCCTGAGATGCTTCTTCAGAGCATGATTCACTCTCTATGCAGAGGAGGATGAAGCCTGTATGTATCAGTATGGTGCAGGTCTGAAGTTCACCGTGGTTGTTGGTTTACTTTCTGTAGATCATTCTCTTTTTCTTCTTCACTGCTATAGATCCTATGGGATATACTTTGCAGACTTCTCGCCTGCACTCCTATCTCAATTGGTTTTTAACCCTGCCAAGAAAGCCCGAGTGCATTTCTTTCCTTTTCTTTATCCCCCTTTGATATTAGTTCTGGCACAGACTGAGTTCATTCTAAGGATCATACTTTCTTATGATTTCAGCTTCTACTGGGTTGTAGCAAAACTTGATTTTTGATAAAATAGCTTCTCTGTTATCCCTATAGAGTAAGAATACTAGTAGTTTTCTAGTGACACTGGTCTCTAGGGTTTTTTCCCTTTCTTTGTATTTTTACTTCTTTCATTATCTCTGTAAATAAGTTTTTGTATTCAGCTTCCTACATATTAAATGCCTAAGGTGACTTTGCTTACCTAGTATACACACAGGTGCGCGCGCGCACACACACACACACACACACACACACACCTTTGCTGTTTCAAAAAACAAACAAACACACAAATAATAACATAAACAAAGCCTCACTACTTAATTACATATTGAATTGTGTTCTTGATTTAGTTGCTGACTCCAAGAAGAAGCTAATATGCTCTATTACAAAAATCAAACCATAAATGCAAGTCTAAATTGTTATACAACAATAACAATTCTTTTCTGGAGGAAAAGAAGATAGAATAAAACAAAATACCCAGTAAAAGGGGAGGTTGCTGCTTTAATTACAATGTCGAGTGTCTACAGTCAGAGATAGAGGGCTGTTGCCATTTAAGATTTTATTTATAAGTTACACGTGTTTTTATCTTGTCATGTATCACATTTGTAACTTCATAGTCATGTAAAAGACAGAAATAACACACTGCTTTACATAATTAGTTTTGTTAAATGGGTATACCAAACATATTTCTATCTGTAATGAGAATTGTCTGTTTCAAACAATTCTACTGTAAGGTTTATTTTGAAATTAAATTGGTTCAGTGTGACCAATACATCAGGAAAGATTTGAACATGTCATCAATTGTCTCTGTGAATGTCTCAGTGAAAATCACCAGGTGACATTTAGAAATGATATTCTCCTGATGACAGAAAACTTGCCCAGCTTAGTAGTATATAAAATGTGAATATACACACACAGGCATGCACATTTTACAGAACTACCATATACAAGCGCATATACCTATATCTCCTCATTTCCTTTGTGTTGTATGCTGTTACTTTTAGCATCCATACCTGCTGTTGTAACTTTCTGAGGTTCTGGTGGTTAATCTACTGTCAACTTGACTGTATTTGCAATAAACTTACAGACACACCCTGGGTATGTATAGGAAGATGTCTCCAGATAGGCTTATACTGAGAGCACAAAGGTCCTTGCATCCACAAATCTCCAGGGAAACCAGGAATGTGAAGTATCTAGGATTGTCCTTTCTGTTTTTCCAAAAGATGAGAACTGGAGAAAATTAATAGTCTGGTGATCTACAATATGTGTTGGGCCAGCCATATAAAGCTCCCACAATCAAGACTGAAGGTGGCTAGTAATCTAAATGTTCCTTACATTATCTCTACAACCAGGGCTTTTCCCAACCTCCCACAACCAGGAACAGAGATACCTAATAGTCTGAATGACTCTCACATTATCTATATAGCCAGAAGCTCCCCCAAACTCCCATAACAACAGGGGCCAGAAATAGCTAAGAACCCAAATGAGCTCTATGCAATTTATTTTTTATTTTTTATTTCTTATTGGTTATTTTATTTGTTTACATTTCAAATGTTATCCCAGTTTCTCCTCCACAAACCCTCTATTCCATTCCTCTTCCCCTGTTTTTTTAGGGAGCTCCCCCACTCACCACCCACCCTTCTACCCACTCCCACCTCACCTCCCTAGCATTTCCCCTAAGTTGGGGCATAGAGTCTCCACAGGACCCTTCTCTCCCTAAGGCCATTGTCTGCTACATAAGCAGCTGGAGCAGATAGGTCCCTCCATGAGCACTCTTTGGTTTTTTGATTAGTTCTTTGGAGCTCTGGGGGGGTCTAGTTGTTTGATAATGTTGTTCTTCCTATGGGTTTGCAAACCCCTTCAGCTTCTTCAGTCCTTCCCCTAACTTCTCCATTGCAGTCCCCATGCTCATTCTGATGGTTGGCTGTTGAGTATCTACATCTGTATTGGTCAGGCTCTGGCAGATCCTCTAAGGGGACAACCATACCCAGCTCCTGTCAGCAAGAGCTTCTTTAACTTAGCAATAGTGTCTGGTTTGGTGTCTGCAGATGTGATAATTCCCTAGGTGGGGCAGTCTCTGGATGACCTTTCCTTCAGTCTCTGCTCCACTTTTTGTCCCTGCATTTCCTTTAGACCAGAACAATTTGCAGTGACCAGTAAGGATCTAGGTCAAATCCTTCCTTAGGCCATTAAACTAGTATAGATAGCCTATCTCTACATCCTACCTTCTTTGAACAAATGATATGTAGTTTGTGTTAAGTTTTGATGTAATTATTACCTCTGTGTGCACTGCAGATTGCTGTGTATTAGGAAACTTCACAAATTATATAGTTTTTAAATATATTGATGATAAGTTGCCTGACATCAGACTCTCCAAAGTCTGACAAAGCTGACCTGAATCGAGTTCTTATTCTCATCACATTATAGTTTATTTCCTTGCCCAACACCCGCAGGGATGCCCTCAGTTCTTGCTGGCAAAGATTCACAATGAGTATGGATGGTACTATTTCATGATCTGGATCTCATATTGAATTGAGAAGAAAAACAGGAGGAAGCCAGCTTATTGCAAGGATTTTTGATTGTCTCTGCTTCCTGACTGTTGACACAATATAATCATCCATTTTATACTTGTTGTACTATGGCTGTCTTTATGCTGTTTTAAACTGTGAACCTAAGTCAACCCGTAGTCTTTCCTTAAGTTGCTTGTATCAGGCACTTTGTTACAGCAACAATAAAAGTGATGTCAGGTTTCACACAACACTCCTTTCAATATAAGCATAGTATTGCATAGTAACCCCATCTACTAAAGTTCACTTTAACAAATTCCAGGTTATTCAGACAAGGACTACAAATTCCCTGACACTGCAATTAAGTAAGTACATTCTAATCTTCCAAAGGAGTACAGTGACTTTAGCTCACTTTGTAAGCTACAGATGAGGTCACATGACAATCCCTGAACAGTTTGTTTCTTAGAGAGTCCCTTTAAGAACAAGGAGGATGGAGAAATGTAAGTTTCCAGTGAACATCTAGATTTTGCAATAAACCAAGTGACTCTGAACTGATATGCAGAATGTCCAGAAGTTTACTTGCTGAAAGGAGAAAAGCATAGGGGTTAAGAAGCCAGGCTCTACTGCGGAGAGGCAACTGCTACACAGGCTGCCTATTACTTCAAAGATAGGACTCTGTGAAGAAACAACAAATTCAAAGGAATTGTGTGCCTTTTAGGGAAAATGTATTTTTGCTCATGCAATCTGACTTTTGGACTTGTACCACTTTATCAGAGTGAACTTTCACCTGTTACAAAACTGGTTTGTTTGCTTTTTGTCCTCTTTCATTTTCCAAGGCACAGTTACATATGCTTTGTTTTTCTTCATTCCTCTTTTTAGTTGTTGACAAGTTGCTTAAGCAATAGGCAAACTGTATTGCTTGCTTTTGTCTTGGGGTCTTCCTTGTCCCCACACTTGCTGCTTCCTGGGGAACCCCCCACTGAACTCTGAACCTCTTCTTGCTGCTAGTGTTCTGTGGCTTTGCACACAAACTCTGCTGTTGGCTGAGGTCTCTGTGGGTTTTTGTTCACAGTTCTTCTCTGACAAGGCTTGCTCTGTGCTACACAGTTCCTTTTCTTTGTTCAGTCTTGCACTTCTGCCACAGAGCCACAAATATCTCCAGCTGGGAATCAGACAGGGACAGAAATGAGGAGCCCAGGAGCCCAAGACAATGTTTCAGTTTCCCAGGGTATGCGAACTATGTTTTACATGATGAAGCCCAGTGAAACTGCCTTTCAAACTGTTGAAGAGGTGCCTGATTACGTTAAAAAGGTGAGACTATCTTCGAAGACGCTCTTTTGCTCTTTTATTACTACATAAACTCAACATATCCCTAAGATTTGTTTAATTTTCTACTTCAAATTATTCTAGCCTCATAAAAATCCAATTTCTTACAGTCATAAAGCAAAAGTACAATTTTCAACTGAATTAAACTTCTGTACACTATCTACATCTTTGCTGGTAAATCCCCTAAACATCACTCTAGAATATGAAAAAAATTCAGTTTTTGAATATGGTAGCATTGTAAATTTGGTTTTTAGAAAGCAATGTTGAATAGCTATACTCCATCAGTAAACTTTGTAACAAATTTGTTTGAAAATGTTTAACTATTCTACTACTTCCTGGAAGGTGCTTCCTCTTTAATTTGGTAGACTAGTTCTGCAAAATAAAGGATATGCAGCTTGGCTTTGTAAAACTCTAACTTCCGAAGTTTGAACTTGAACCACTTATTTTTTCTATCATTTTAAGCCTTTGAGGTATTTTTCACTTCTGTTGCTTGGCCATGGTTGGAAATGGAAATATCCAGAATTAGAGTCAGAGCAATAATGTTCTCCACCCTGTCAAAGTTGTTCCCAAAACACTTACTGGTTCAGACCAGAAATAGGGAAACTATGACATCACGGAGCAAGTTCTTGGGAGCTCAGTTAGAAAACTTCCACCTCATTATCATGGTCCACTTGACTGAAGCCCATAATGATTTTGAGGTTTGATATTTCTATTTTGTTTATTGAAGTCAAATGTACCAATCTTGTCTTCACAAATTTATTTAGATTTATATTATTTGATATTAAAAAACATGCATAATATATAATACAATATGATATTAATGATAATATTAAATTACTGTTTAGATTTTAGCATTAAACCTAATCAGTGATTGATAGTTTAATACTCATTATTATAAAACCACAAAAATCAAAGCTGAATGAAAATTTGGTGCTAATATAATCTTAAAAAACTCCCTTATTTGCTAAGAGTCTCAGATGTTGTTTTTACTACTGTCATGTCAAATTCAGAAGTAGTAATAGACTATCTAGTTTGTAAAAACTCTGATTGAAGGTGTTTTAAAGTGGTTCCCCTAATGTAATTCTAACTTATTCAGGCTCAAAGGATAGGTGTTTATGTGCTTAACTAATTTTAAACATTTTTTTTTAACTTGAAACATCTTGTTTCTAATTTTACTGATTTTCTTGGCATAATAGTGAAATTTATACTTATGCTTTTATTTAATTTACAAATTACATGGTATGTTTTGAACTTATCATTAGAGTATGTCAAAAATACGCAATTTTTTTTTTTTGCTCGTTGGCTTGGAAATAACCAGTAGTATAAATGTAGGTACCCTGGAAAGGTGTACCCTTCCCAGATATCAGAGGACTGATCAGAAAATTTGGAGGACGTCATGTGGAGCAGAATAGCATCTCTTCTATGTAATCTCCTTTCTAGGCAACTCCATTTTTCATCTTCTTGATTCTGCTTGAACTAGTCATCAGCTGGATCCTCAAAGGGAAACCATCAGGTCGTTTGGATGATACTCTCACATCTATGTCAGCTGGTGTTGTGTCTCGGCTTCCAAGGTGAGTCGCATAGTATAGAGTAGCAGATTAAGAAATCCAAGTCTTTCCCAGTGTAAAGCAGATGGAACTTAATGTGAATGTTTTACATATTTCCCTACAAATTCTTAAAAGTTCAGAATGTATTAATATTCAAAATTATCTTATTTTTTTCAGCACTGACTTTTCGCTTATAATTTTTAATAGAGAATGATCAACATCCCTAGTCTTAATTTCTGAGGTTCCCTGGTATCATTATATTTATTTATTTGTTTTTAACCAAAGTGACTGGTTCACCTGCCTTACAGGAGACATTGCTTTGAGTTTTTGTATAGGTCCCTGCTGGAAATTAGGCTTTGTTCTAGCCAAATTTTTACAAATATCTCCCTAGGACTCAGATATTTCTCCATGTGTAATATATAAACAATTACTATTGGTACCCAGATGTTTGTATTATAGGGACCAGGAGAAAGTCATTCCCTACTTCTGTACTTCCTTGGACTTGAAGTAAAATTCTGTACACACAAGGTTTAGCTTCTTTTTTGTTGTCCATCCTTTTGTCATCTCTATCTTGTCATGGCACATCTCTGAGGCACTCTCTGTTGGATTTGGAAAGCTATCAATCCGGCTGCCTCCAGTTCTTTTGTAGGTCTATGAATGGGCATCACCTTAGGAAAGCTCATCTATTTTCTAAGCCTGAGTTGGGTACCTTTGGTCCACGCCTTGACTCTTGTGCTCACTCCAGACACATAACAATCTTAGGTAGAGTTGAAGATTCTTCTCTTTGTGTCAGCAACTCCCTACTTGCATGGGACCTGAAATCAAGAGTTTTGCTCATGTCAGAGTTTTAGTTCAGAATCCAGGAATGATGTCTGCTACAAAGCAAATGCTCTAAAATAATATTCTTTATACTGTCATGTTCGTGATAAAACTAGACAAATATAGGTGAAAGAAACAGTAAATGACCTATGTTATGAAGTGATTTGAGTGATACAGGAAGAAAGCCCACCAGGCACACAGAAGGAACCTTCAGAGTATCAAGATCAACCAAAGAAGCAGAGCCAAGAGAAAGTCCCCAAAGGAGCTTAGCTTTGAGCTGCGGAAGAGCATGCCCATTATAGGCTCCCAACTCTGCTTCTTTTTACTGTTTGTGGAGCTTCATTTCTGAGCAGAGCTCATCACGTTGGAATGTTTCTTGGAACCATACAGTGGGAAATCAACGCAGACTACAAAAATGACATTTCACATGAAATATATCTGAGAAAAGGTGCATTAACCTGGTATAAATCATAACATGTTTGAGTAGAAAATAAACCTTAAAAATACATGTCAGCGTGTTACTTTGAGTAAATTGGGTCATTAGGTTTATAGTCGTAAAATAATGAGCTGAGTAGCCACAGATGTGGCTGCATACTACAGTCAGAATCAGTGGAAGGTAATTCCCCTGAATAAGACCCAGATTGCCTAAAATAACAATTCAGTATATTGATCAATTCCTCTATCATGTGGCTTCCTGTGTGTGAAATGAACATGAGCTTTCCTTCTGTATATATATTCTTAGGTATGAAGATTTGGATATAGATTTCTTTATTGAAGATAATGCAATTGGTTTCTGTAGCTCATTTTGAGAATGTAATGTACTAAGAGTTCTTGGACATCAGTTGATTTTTCAGCTGTGAAAAAATAATTAATAATTAGGAAGTACTGTATGTGCAGGTGCAATTATGGGTCATGAATTTCAGTGACTTGGAATGGAACATTTTGTATTTATTGTTTTGTTTTTCAAGAATTTTGAGAAACATCCCATCGAATCAATTCTTCATCTTTTTGTTTTTTTTTTTTTTAACTTTTAAAGTCTGATTTGGTTATAAGTAAAATTAGACTATCTCCTAGCATTTAACTCTTGGAAACATCTTATTCTCAGTACAGCCTTTTTTGCAGCAATATGACTTATGAATCTATTAAGTTAGAACAAAATAGCAAAATTTCCAAGCATAATTCTTTACAAAATCATACCACAAAAAGTAGAGACACACGTGCACACACATATTCACTTGTGCACACTTGATATGAGGTAACATGGAAATGGTAGTGTGAAGTCAGGAGGGTACCCTGTGAGGCAAGAGCAGGGAAGGAGGTAAAGAGAGGGAGAGGAAGAGAGGGGGAGGGGAAGGGGGAGGGGAGAGGGAGGGGGAGA